ACTGACGAACGAACAACACACACACACTCATACCCCATACCCGTAGGGGGGCCGGGCGGGGCTATGGGTGCGTGTTGTCGGAAAGGGGTCCCCGCTCCAACGGGAGCCTCCCCAGGGGTCCGACCACCCACACCCATACGGCATACCCATAGCCAGTCCTCCTCCCTCCGACCTCCCTATGGGTATGAGTGAATTGTTCGCTCGTCACCAACAGCCGCTGGCGGTGCACACACAAGGGGGAGGAGAGGGGGCGCGAGAGAGGGAGACTTCACAGAAGGCAAGGGGCCTTCCGAGAAGGCAAGGGGCCTTGCTGGAAGGGCCCAGCGGCTTCTGGGACCTGCATCGGCTGCACGCAAGAGTGGCCATGGGTAAGAGCGACCTTTGGCGCGCGGCTTATTGATGACCAAAGGGAAGCGCGCAAGACGCTACTGTCGCGTCGCGTTCGGCGAACGTGGGGACCCCAGCGGGTCCACACCAGAGGTCTCTCTCCGGCGAAGGGTCACTCCTACGCGTAATTGACTCCTCCGGACTCCCCCCTGCTCCGCCCCTGCTCCGGGCTGCGCCGCCCCGAGCGCGACCCTCAACGGTGATGCCCTGAACGCGGCGCCCGTTCTCGAATGCCACGCGCAGGACATCACCGCTGGGGAGTCGGGGTCGGCCGCCTGGGGCGGTATCCTTTGTAATTGTGTGTTCTTCGCCCGTGGGCGGGCACAGCAATCACGCAAGCAACATCAACTTCCAAGCTGAGTCACCGAAGTGCTCCAGCTGGTCGGTGACACCATGAATGGGAGCGGGAGGATTCGGAGGAGAGGGCGAAAGGCAGGGGAGAACGGACGCTCGATGCCAACATGCCTACACCAGCGGCCTAATCAGCCTAAACAAGATCACCCGCAAACACTCAACCTGAAGCAGATGGCGCGAAGGAAGCGGGCCCTGGAGGAAAAGGAAGAGGGTCCTTCTCGCACCAGGAAGGGGGACAAAGATCTCCAACGCGTTGGCAAGAACATGTCACGAATGCATGTCGCCCTCTTTGGCACCAGTGGGCCCCTGCTGGCCCTGGGACCGCCAGAAAGCTACTCAGGGCGAGAAGCCGGCCCTGGGGAACCGGTCGGGATTTCGGGGGGGGGTCCCAAACACTAAAGACATCGGAATCCCGCCCTTTCTGTTGGGCAGCTCTGGCGGCCTTGCCGATCGTGGTCAACCGGACCGAGAAAATAAAAAACGAGGGTTATCTCTCTGTTGATCCTGGGCCTACTCTGCCCCACCACTCTGCCGTCCCCCGCGTGGAACCGCCGCCCGTGCTCGCACGGCCATACCTAGGACACGAGAGCATCCTTGAAGAACATGAGACACTCCGCCGACCCAGACTGCAGAACAATCGAGCGCGCCCTCTACCAAGATGCGCGAGAACACCCAACAAACACGAAAAACCTGGCACGCGCGGCGCACCTCGCCCCAGCTTCGCGCACATGGGGTCTGTTTTGGTTTCCACGAGCTGTCCATCCACAGACGACCGTTGAACATGCTGAGGCTCGGGTGCGACTTATGTGTTGGGAGGGCGGGTGGGAGTGAGCGAGACAGTTTGCGGGCGGGAGGGGGGTCTTGACAGGTAGACGGACCCATCCCGGCGACGTGGGACCAATCCCGGCCCAGTGGGACCATTCCCGGCGGAGCATCTATGGTTGACAATGGGTTCATGCCAGGCTGCTCTTACAAGTAAACCATAAACCAAATCTGTTCCGAACGTGAATTGGTATCCTTTATGATGTCCGCTCATGTTTTACGATTTTGTACGCTGGGATCCGACCCGGCTTTTGAAGCATATGAACCATGACTTTTCGACTGCTAGAGCGACGCGTCGTAGTAGTAGCGATAGTTGTCGCCGCAGGAGCAATAGCAGCAACAGTAGCAACATCGGTGGAGAAGTAGTAATAGTAGTAGTAGTCGTCGTCGTCGTCGTCGTCGTCGTCGTCGTCGTCGTCGTCGTCGTCGTAGTAGTAGTAGTAGTAGTAGTAGTAGTAGTAGTAGTAGTAGTAGTAGTAGTAGTAGTAGTAGTGGTAGTAGTAGTAGTAGTAGTAGTAGTAGTAGTAGTAGTAGTAGTAGTAGTCGTAGTAGTAGTCGTAGTAGTAGTAGTAGTAGTAGTAGTCGTAGTAGTAGTAGTAGTAGTAGTAGTAGTAGTAGTAGTAGTAGTAGTAGTAGTAGTAGTAGTAGTTAGTAGTAGTAGTAGTAGTAGTAGTAGTAGTAGTAGTAGTATAGTAGTAGCTCTAGTGGTAGTAGTGTAGTAGTAGTAGTAGTTGTTGTTGTAGTAATAGTAGTAGTAGTAGTAGTAGTCGTAGTAGTAGTAGTAGCAGTAGTAGTAGTAGTAGTAGTAAATAGTAGTAGTAGTAGTAGTAGTAGTAGTAGTAGTAGTTGTAGTCGTAGTAGTAGTAACAGTAGTAGTAGTAGTAGTAGTAATAATAGTAGTAGCAGTAGTAGTAGTAGTAATAATAGTAGTAGTAGTAGTAGTCGTAGTAGTAGTAGTAGTAGTAGTAGTAGTAGTAGTAGTAGTAGTAGTAGTCGTAGTAGAAGTAGAAGTAGAAGTAGAAGTAGAAGTAGAAGTAGAAGTAGAAGTAGTAGTAGTAGAAGTAGTAGTAATAGTAGCAGTACTAGTCGAAGTAACAGTAGTACCACTGCCAGTGGTGCTCATAATTTTCGAAAGAATATGAGAAGTCGCAACGGCGTTCGCAGTACTAGTGGCATATGCTATACAATCATGAGTAGAACAAATAGTCTTAACAACACGACTCGAACTCATAGTACCTGTAGAAGTCTTAACGCAAGCCGTAACACTGAAGTTCAAACTGAAGGTAGTGGTGCTAATACAGGCGGTAGTAGTCGAAGTCGTAGATCTAGTAGTAGTAGTCGTCGGCGTAGTGGTAGTAATAGTAGTAGTCGTAGTAATACTAGTAGTGATAATAGTGGTAGTAGTAGTACTACTAGCCGTAATCGTAGTAGTAATAGTAGCAGTAGTCGTACTCGTAGTAGTAGTAGTAGTAGTAGTAGTAGTAGTAGTACTAGTAGTCGTAGGAATAGTAGAAGTAGTAGTCGTAGTAGTAGTCATAATAGCAGTAGTAATAGTAGTAGTAGTAGTAGTAGTAGTAGTCGCAAAAGCAATCGAAATAATAGAAAGAAATCGCAGTCACAATGGTAATAGTAGCAAAAGTAAGTTTAATAGTACCAGTCGTAATATACAGCATGGTAGTAGTAGTAGTATTAATAGTAGTAGTAGTAGTAGTAGTAGTAGTAGTATAGTAGGAGTCGTAGTAGCAGTCGTAGTCGTAGTAGTAGTAGTGGTACTACTAGCCGTAGTCGTAGAAGTAGTAGTAGTCGTCCTAGTAGTAATAGTCGTCGTCGTCTTAATAATCGCAGTAGTAAGAGTAGTAGTAGTAGTCGCCACAACAATAGTAATTTGAGTAGCCGTGGTAGCCGTAGTACTCGTAGTAGACATAGCAGCAGTTGTAGTAGTAGTACAAATAGTAGTCGTAGCAATACTAATAGTAGTGGTAGTAGCAATAGTAGTATGCAGTAGGAGCCGTAGAAAAAATCGTAGTAGCAGTCGTAAAGGCTGCAGCAACCGTAGTAACAGTAGTCGTAATAGTAGTAGTAATAGTGGTATTAGAAATAGTAGTAGTAGTAGTAGCAGTAGTAGTAGTAGTAGTAGTAGTAGTAGTGGTAGTAAACCGGGTGAGGGTAGTAAAGGTACAAGTAGTAGTGCTCGTAGTTGAAGTTGGTAGTAGTAGTAGTAGTAGTAGTAGTAGTAGTAGTAGTAGTAGTAGTAGTAGTAGTAATCGTAGCGGCAGTAGTAGTAGTAGTCGTCGTCGTAGTAATAGTGGTAGTCATGCACGTAGTAGTACGGAAATCAATGGCACGAGTAGTGGTGGTAGCAGCAGTAGTAATAGTAGTAGTAGAAGTAGTAGTAGTAGTAGTAGTAGTAGTACTAGTAGTACTAGTAGTAGTAGTAGTCGTAGCAGTAGAAATAGCAGTAATAGTAGTCGTGACTGTGGTAGTGGTAGCAGGAATAGTAGTAGCAGTGGTAGCCGTAGTAATAGCAATATTATTAGTAGTAGTAGTGGTCGTAGTAGTCGTAGTAGTAGTAGTAGTAGTAGTAGTAGTAGTAGTAGTAGTAGTAGTAGTGGTAGTAGTAGTAGTAATAGCATTAGTAGTAGAAAGAATACGAATAGAGGTAATCGTAGTAGTAGTAGTAGTCGTAGTAGTAGTAGTAGTAATAGTAGTAGGATTAATCGTAGTAGTAGTAGGAGTAATCGTAGTATTAGTAGTAGTAGTAGTAGTAGTAGTAGTAATGGTAGTAGTAGTAGTAATAGAAATACTAGTGGTGGAAATAATAGTAGTAGTAGTTGTTGTAGGAATAAAAATAACGGCGATAATAGTAGTAGGAGTAGCAGTAGCAGTGGTAGAAATACACGAGGGACCATAACAGACCCCTGCTGTGGACTCGGTGTCGTAATACTGGCTAAATGGTCGCGGGGGTGATAATAGCTGAGTGGTCGTAGTCTGTGGTGAAGTCGTTTGTAGTGGTTGTCCCGGTTGTGTAGTAATGGTAATCCTGTGTAGTGCGGTTGTGTAGTAGCGGTAGTGTGAAGAGGTTAGTCGTGTAGTGATATTGCTGCTCGGAGTCCATGAACTGGTAACGCATGTGTTCGGGAAACATATGTCACGGCTGGAGGCCCGTCGGTACGGGTCGTCGAATCCTGCCTTCACCCTGTGCCCCTCCGTGGTGGCAAAAGCGGTAGCCTCGCCGCCCACGGCTTGGGTGTTCCCCGTGGCAGGTACAATCCTGTCCAATGATCACCATCATGACTCATGGACACCATCGTCCGCCCAAGTGCTATCTAATAGTACAATCCTCTTTGCTCGGACATTGCCGCTGTGGAGGAGGAAGACGACCGTCATCCTCTTCATCTTCTGAGAAGCTTCTCATATATGCCCAACGTTTTAGAATGTTCCATCGGGATTGAACTGGCTCTATTCGCTGGAGTTTGTTCTATGTCGCCAGAATTGGTCCGAATCCAAAGTCTTGACCCCTCCCCCCACCTCTCTCCTGAACCTGGACGGGGATGCTGGTGACTGATTGGGGCGTCCAAGAAGGCCTCAGCGAGAAGGCACACATCATTTATTTCACTTAGGTGTTTGGCCCATTCTGGCCTGGTGGGGGGGCTCCAATTGATTACCCTTCTCCTTCGATCGACATCCTCCAAAATGGCCCCAAGTTGGCCATCCAGGATCCCAGGAGTGCCCCAAGATGGCCCCAAGGTGCCCAGGAGGCCCCAAGAGGCCCCAAAGAGATCCCCAGGAGGCTCCCAAGAGGCTCCCACGAGGCACCCGAGACGCTCGAAGAGGCCCCCGAAGCCGCCAAGAGGCCCCAAAGAGGCCCAAAGAGGACTACAAGAAGCTCCCGAGAGACATCCGAAGAGACTCAAAGAGGCATCCACGAGGCATTGGGCATCTTTTGCTCACCCTCCTCCTCCCCCTCCTTCTCCTCCTCCAGATCCTCATCCGCATACTCTTCCTCCTCCCTCCTCCCCCTCCCCCTCTCCCTACTCCTCCTCCTCCGGTTCCTTCTCCATGCTCCCCCTCTTTGGGTATAACGTCTGACCTAGCCCCATATTCTACTGCATGCTCCTCCACATCCCTGATCAGGGCAACTCGTCTGGGCGTTTTGTCTGGATGGGCTGATGGGGCTACGCGAAGCGTTTAGAATGTATAATCTCCATACACACATATATTTAATGTATATATATGTGTGTATGTATACATCGATTCACACACGTACATCTACATATAAAAGAATGCGTTGGCGCTTCGCGCCATGTACCGTTGGTCCTTGATGTTTGATACGGAGGCGAAGAGCAGGAAGGTAAACCATAAAATTTAACGATAACTCCTTGTTGTCTTTTCCGACGTCGTCACTAAAAATACTTTTCATCATCCCTCATGTTCCCCCTCTTCCTCATTCTCGCCCTACCCTGCGAATTCGTCCCCATCCTCAGCTCTTTGTGCGGAGACACCTCCTTGGAGAGCCTCATGGGTGCCTCACCGAATTTTTCAAGGGTTTCTCAGGCCCTTTTGGGGGACTCCTGGATTCCTTCTGGGAGCCTCTGAAAGGGGTTCCTCGGGCCACCCTGCTTCCAAACACGATCTCCCTGAACGAGCGGGTCACGATCTTGAATGCTTCGGGGGGGCGTCTTGGGGCCATCTCGGGCCGTCATGGGGCTTTCTCTGGGCCACCTTGGCTGTTGGACAGTCTTAGGGCTCTCTTGAACCGCCTGGAAGCTCTCTTGGATAGTTTTTCGGGGCGATGTTCTAGCCTCCTCGGCGGTCTCGGACGCCCAGAAGGCCGAAGAGCAGAGCATTTTACTGGAAATGAATGATTTTGTTGAGTTTTGGAGGCCGCTTAGGGGTCTTCTTTGGGTCGTCCTCCGGCGGCTGGTGGGTGTCTGGGGCCTCCTGGGACTTTCGCGGGGCCGCTCGGTCGCCCTCCTGACCGATTTGGGCCCGTTGCCTATGTAGGCCCAGCAGGGGCTTCCAGGAGCCCTGGAAAGCCCTTGGGATCTGTAGGGGCGTCCTGGGCGCCCAAGGGGCCACGGATCCTGGGAACCTTGTTTTTGTTGTGGGGGGGAATCCCCATCCCCCCAGGTTGTAAAACAACATATAACAGGGAAGATATGTGTATGTATGTATGTGTTCGCCAGCGTGGACCTCAAACAATAAGTTATCACACGGTGGTTGTGCAAGCTATATGGTGCAGGCTATATGGTGTGAGTTAGATGATGCTGACTACGTGGATCAAGCTAGAAGCGGCAACGGAGCGGTTATTGGTGGCAACGTGGCGAAACCTCGTCAGACCCACCCAGCGCATGAGGCGGCAACGAGGCGGCAACGTGGTGAATCTTCCCCCAGCGCACGAGGCGGAAACCTGGCGGCAACGGGCGGGAGCGTGGCGAAACCTCGCCAGACCAACCCAGCGCAAGAGGCGGCAACGCTGAGGCAACGGGCGGCTACGTGGCGAAACCTCGCCAGATCCACACTCAGCGCACCAGGCGGCAACGAGGCGGCAACGGGCGGCAACGTGGCGAAATCTCGATGGACACAACCAACGTACGAGGCAACAACCAAGCAGCAACGAGGCGGCAACTAGCGGCAACGTGGCGAAACCTCGCTGCACCCACCCAGCGCACGAGGCGGCAACCAGGCGGCAACGGGTGGCAACCTGGCGAAACCTCCACGGACCCACCGGACGCTCGAGGCGGCAACGGAGAGGCAATGGGCGGCAACGTGGCGAGACCTCGCCAGACCCACTCGGCGCACGAGGCGGCCACGAAGCGGCAACAAGGCGGCAACGTGGCGAAACCTCGCCGACCCACTCAGCGCACGAGGTGGCTACGAGACAGCAACGGGTGGCAACGTGGCGAACTCTTGCTGGACCCATCCAAGCGCTCAGAGGCGCACATAACAATTAGGAAAAGCGATTACTGCTTGGGAGAAACATCGTCCGTCAAGTTTTTTTCACGGAGCGAGGGGGTCTGGACTCTCTCTTCCTCCCTGGGGCAACTATCTTCGCGCTTCGCGCTCCGCGAAACGCGAATATCTTCGCGCTTTCGCGCCGACCCCCCCGGAACAAGATGAGGGATTCGCGGCTCGCTCTGAAATCGCCCAGACCGCAAAGCGCGAATTACGTCGCACCCTCGTGGTGGCCCGAGTCATCCCCTTCTGCCTCTTCTTGCTGATGGTGGAGGCTCGGAGGGAGGAGGGGTGCCTTCATGGGCCTCTTCGGCGTCATGATCCGGGCGCCCTCGGGCAGGCTGCGCTCAGCGCTGAGCGTGCCCTGGGGGCGGGGCGAGGGGGTGAGGGGACTGTGAGACAGATAACTCTCGTGTTGGGAGGAAGGGGTACAGCCAAAATCTGTAGTAAGGCCGCGCTGCAAGGCCGCAAGACCCTTGGACGGTCCTTGGACGCCCCAGTTTAAGCTTTTCTTGCAGCGCACTGCAAAACAAATCTAAGGACGCAAGGTGCCCTTGGGAAGGTGACCCGTCCTTGCTATCGATGTACACTTGCAGGGTACGACTGTGTAAGAAAGAAACACATTCAGCATACGCGGTTGTATGGAGGATCTGCCTATTACTCCCAGCCCCATCCTCCCAACCCGATTCTTGTCTCTCTGAGACGGAGGTGAGGCGGCAAGGGGGTGCAAAATAAGAACAACCAACTTACACACAAACTTTTGGAGGTCCGCGCGGGTGTCTTGGATCGGCGCCGGACACGCCTCCCTGGCGCGCAGATCGCGCCAAAGGCGCCGCCGGGAGAGCCCCGCGCCCATCCGAATAATTCCGCAGGGCGGCGATGCAGCATTTAGCATGGAGAAAGAGGCCGAGGGAAGGGGGATGAAGCTGGGCAACTGAATCAACACGTGCATCAAGGGAAGCTGGAGAGGAGGATGGGGAGGATCTAGCTGCAAAGCCGGAGCAGCACATCAACTGGTGCACTTCTGAACGCTGAGCTGTGCAACAACGGAGGCTCACAAGATACCGCAGGATCCTGCAGGATCCTGCGCGCAAGCCCGGGTTAGTGCACCCCTGGCTCTGCAGGACTCTGCAAAATCCCGCGCTCTGGCTGACCCCGCTCGCATTGGCCCCCGTCCCACTCCCGATCGGGGCCCAGCTCCCGGCAGCCAGTGCCCGTTCCGCCCCCTGCGAGGTCCGAGCTACCCCCCCCCCTTCACCGTCTTCTCCATCACGCGGCGTCTGCAGGGCAAGGACAGCGGCTACGAGGAGGTGGGAGCCCGCGGCCGCGCAGGTGCCTGGGCCCCCCCGTGCGGCACGGCCGACCATGACATCTACACCACCACATCTGGCCAGGGCCACCCTGGGCCGCGGCACGGCCCACTCACACGCCATCCCGGCCGAGGGCCCACACGCCGCCCGAACGTGGATCGGGAGCAGCCAAGAGGGGGGGGTGCAAATCATGACCGGCGGCATGTGCGCGGCCCATGGGGGGGGGGGCCAGGGACGTAATGAAATAACAAGGAGCGCCGTGAAATCTGGGGAAACATCATGGCCCCCGCCATGATATCCCCCCCCCCCCCAGTCATCACCCCCCTCTTGTCCGCCCCCGAGTGGACGGCCCTGGCCAGGCGTGGTGCCGGTGTGCAGGTGCCTTCTGCGGGATCGCGTCCCCTTCCTCGTCCTCCTTCGAGGCCCGCGGCTCGCGTCGTCGTCCTACTCCGACCGGGGCCATCCGCGCGGGCAGTCGCGACAGGCTCCCGTCGGGCCAATTGCGCGGTCGACGAATGCCTCCGTCGTGCAACGTGGTAGTAACCCATCGGCTGCCAGAACCCTCGGACATGGCAGAGGGGCAAGAAGCCAAAGGTTCCCCATCCCAGCCCTGGAGTCCACGGCTGACAGACATTGCCAGGCATCTCTCCGCTACGACAGTCTGTGCGCCTATACCAATGGTGAAAACTGTCGTGCCAAGGAACCAGAGGCAAATCTGCAAGCCGGCACCAATTGCCGAATCCGCCCACCAATACCCGAATCCGCCCAACATCGAACTTATTGGGGGTAACGTTTTGACTCCCGCGGGCTTCCGCCTGAGGGGAAACGATAAAGGAGTCTGGCTCCAGGCGGGGAAACATCGACCTGGAATCGGCAGTACGTCGCCAATAGATCGGCGGCAGGCCTCACATAGCGAAGCCGCAAGGTCCTGGGCGGGGTGGGCTATCGGGCTCTTCCCCATTGGCCACCAGTAGGCGATTAGGGGTCGGTGCATTCCACTTTGAACATATCCCTTCTAGGCTTGCCCCTGACCGCTGGTTCCCGTCGGCGCCACCACCCTCGGCTTACGTCCGCTGGCCTTGTGGTAACACCCACCGAGGTTGACAGGTCAATCGTTCGACTCCTCGATGGCGAGCCCTTCAATAGAACGTACTAGATGCCTCAAATTGTCTTCAGACGTGACCTCGAATACATCTCCACAGACAACCTACAGGCAGTGCGGCAACGGTTCGAACGTGCCAGTGCCATGCGCTGAAGGTGATGACATGTGGATACAGGTGCAGAGCAGAAACATAGCAAAAGTGCTAGCAATTTGTTCAAACGTCATTCCGAACCGCAACGCCAATTCAACAACGCCTCCGTCGCTAGTGTTTCATCTCGCTTCCCATTCTGCATCTCACGACGCTGGGAACAACACAGAGCATCAACACGTTGAAAACTTGAACATCGTACACATGCCTCATCCAACATCCTTACTCGTTTGCAAGTCGGACTGCTCATCTACAAAAACACAAAAACAAAAAATATTGCCTGTCGGATAGTCTGCGGGTCGTAGAATGCCTTTGGCACACGGAAGAGGAATCACGCCAACACTTTGGCGCCCACATGCCGCATCCCCGCGCAATGCACCGTGACTGCAGCAGAGCACAATGCCCCCCACCCTCTACTTTCCACACTAGCCGCCCATTTGAGGAAGGCGCAGAGAAGCTGGACAATCAGTGGAAGTTGGAGACGCAATGGATGTAAAAGTGGCCAAGGCTTGAAAAACTAGGCCCGAACAAATTGGGATGCGGTCGTCAAGAGCCGGATACAAAGGGGAAACTTGCCAGGATCGGAACCGATCGGAAATGAACACATGACACTCCATCTGGATCCAAGCATCTTCACAGTGTGGTTTGAAGCTCAGGCTCGACAGTGCCAGCAAAGCAATACGGCCACGACCGAGCAACCCTAGTGTGAATGACGGCTCAGACCACTTGCTCAACCGTGGACGCGCATCACAAGGGGTACCGGCTGCGTCCTGTTTGGTCATGCGTCTGCAAACGAACAAGAAACATGGGAGCGATGTCGAGAATCGATCGTATGATCATTGCGAGCGTACTCGTTCATACAAGTCTTAGACTGCCAAAGCTTGTTCGGCAGCGGAGCGAGAAATCATCGCACGCAATAAGCTGAACCATATGAGAGGCTCAGGTAAGGTCGACAAGGGGGCATTCAGTTGGGGCACCAAGCGGGAGGCACAACAACCGTCCGACATAACATCTCTGAACAATCACAAAAGTTCCACTCACGCGACTCAATGGAAAGGGATAAGCGCACAGTTTGTACCTCTGCCCCTTCACCGGCCCTCGTTTGCGAATCGATTCCCCACCCCCTCCTTCCATACTCCAACCTTTTCCCTCTTCTCCTCTTCCGCCTCCTCCTCCTCCTGATCATTGCCCTCCGCATCCCTCCTCTCCAATGCTTTTCATCCTGCTCACATTCCCTCTCCTCCTTGCTCTTCTCTGTCCCAGCCTCCATCCTCCTTGTCGTCGTCCTGTTCGTCTCTCCCCCCATCCTGCCCGTACTACCTACCCTTCTCGTCTCGCCTGTTCACGTCCCACTCCTCTCCTCGTGCTCCTCTTTCCCCCCCCCCTCTCTCTCATGTTTGCTCTCGCTCTCTCTCTGTCTCTCTCTTTCTTTATGTGTTTCTCTATCTCTCTCTCTATCCCCCTCCAGCTCTCTCTCTCTCTTTTTCCCTCTCTCACTCGCTCTGTCTCTCTCCAATGTTGTGTGTTGTTTTTGGTTGGGTATCTTCTCACGCCGTACTCCTCGGCATCCTCCCTCTCAGCATTCCTTCGTCCACCTTCCCCTCTTTATCCTCAGCCTTCATCTCCTCCGCTAATTCCTCTCCGTCTTCATCCTACTTCTGCTGCTCCTCTTCCTCCTTCCCCTCTCACCCACCATCAAGGCGTTCAGCCGAGCTTAGCTGACCCCTGGAGGTCTCGACGGCAAGCAGGCTTCGCACATCACCTCGCCTCTGCGCTCGAGGGACGATCCAAAGAATTCCGCGCGGACCTCCCACATTGTACCTGCTTCTGCCATCGTCTGCACAATGGGAGCCCTGACCACGAGGAGCCTTTCACAAGAAACCCAACCCCGAGACCCCAGGACGTCCATTGATTTTCGGTGTGGGAACGTCGCGCTCTCCATCGCAAAACCATCGAACCCGAAGAAACCCAGGGCACCCTGGAGGCAGGCAGGGTGCTTCTTGGTATGGGCCTCCACTGCACCTCGCTGTGCGCCACGCCGCGGCGGTGTGGCTGCCCGCTCCGTGCGTGCCAGCTGCCCGCGTGGCCTGCTCGGGCCGCTGCCCCCCTCCGAAGCCCGCCCCTCCCCCTCGGAGGCCCACGCCCGCAGGAGATGGCCCCCCAAAAGCAGACCCGCGCCCGGCAGGGATCGGCCCAAGCAGTGTCTTTCGTTCTCGTTTTGGCGTTTCGTCTTCCCTCGTCTTGTCTTCATTCGCCGCTGCTGCAGAACGAGACCGACTCGCGCATGGCCCACGGAGTCGCCCAAACACTGCTTATCGGGAGCGACCAAGAGGGGGGTGTCCAAGAGGGGGGGTGCAAATCATGACCGGCGGCATGTGCGCGGCCCAGCGGGGGGGGGCAGGGACGTAATGAAGTAAGAAGAGGCGCCATGAAATCTGAGGAAATATCATGGCCCCCGCCGTGAAATCCACCCCCCCCTGGTCACCACCCCCCTCTTTTCCGCCCCCGAGCTTGGGTCGACCCCCCCCTGGCGCCCGGGACCTCCGCCGGATCCGTCCGTGCGGCATCGGCTTCGGCCTCCGAGGCGCCTCCACTCCCGGAGTCGGCCTCCGAGGGCCGCGCTCCGGGCCCCCGGGGGGCCCGCGGGTGAGGCGAGGAGGGAGCCCCAGGGGAGGGGCCGAGGCCTCCGCGGGGCCAGTGGGTCGAACCACAGACAGGGCGGGACGACATCTCGGGTCGGGCGAAAGGGGGGGATAGCAAAGGGGGGGTTTGAGAATCAGCTCACGTAGCTGGAGGGAGGAGGGGGAGGAGGAGGAGGCGGCGGAGGGGCACGAGGAGACGTAGCAGCACCAGGATGGAGGAGGGGTGGAGTGAGGGATCGGAGGGGAGGGGGAGGGGGGGGGAAGGAGAAACATGAGGAAGGGGGGAGGAGCAGCCGCGGCGCAGGGGCAGAGAACGGGAAGGGGAGAGAGGGGGGGGGACAGTTTTGGGGAGAAGAGGGGCAGGGGGAAGATACACGAGGGGAAAATGGACGGAGGAGGACGCAGGAGGATCGATCATACCAGCGTAATTGCTGACTTCTCATTCCAGGAGTTGCAACCTAGGGAAGGGGAGAGGAGGATGAATGGTCTTCCGCATGTACAGCGGATGATGTAATAGGATAGGTGCCTGAGGACGGTGCAACTGAAAACAGCAATGACATCGAAAATACTCCCGCCACTCCCTGGCGAGGCCGTATGAAGCATTTAGGGCCCTGCCTCACAAAACCTTTGAGCCTGTTTTCTGACACTCTAGTGGCCACACGATCTCTCACTGATGGCTGCTCCATCGCTCTCGACGAAGGCCCGTATGAGCACGAGTCCTGCCTCGCAGGAATTTCGGACCTGGCTATGGCCAGCTGGTGGCCACTTTATTGCGCACCCATGGGCTTGCAACATCAAAAACTGGGGGCAACACAGAGTGAATCACCATTGGGCCGCTGGTGGGCGTGAGTGGGTCAATGGTGCGTCACTCGAGCGTCCAATTCATTTGGAACTAGTTGGTGGTGTGTCAAAACCTTTAGTTGGCAATTGGCAATGCGCAGGACATACTTTGGGATCTCCGTCGGTCACCATAACTGGGAAGAGTTAGGTAGTCACTCGTGTTGCGTGTCCAGAAGATTGGCCGTGTCCGCGGCAGCTGATGGGAGGGGGGCTTTGTAGGGACGAGCAGCCTGCAAGCACCATCCCGACCACATCGCAACACACATGCGGGATCCGCGGCGCGCCGCCTACAAGCCCGCACGAAGCGCAGCAGACCAATCTGCTTCTTCGGGGGGGCGGGCTCTTGGAAAGAAGAAGCGCGGGGCCACTTCTGCATGATTGCATGGATGCCTGAAAGGATTGGGGACCCACAGGGGGACAGCACAGCAGTACACACATACAGTCATCGTCCTGGCAGAGGGAACGCAAGCTGAGGCCAGACGGGGCCCTCGTGGCCAAGGCGAACCTCGGCCACGAATAGGTCCCCCGAGCTAGATCCAAGGCACGGCCCGAAAACCAGCGCTGCCTGAGCCCAAAGCGGCCCCCTGTGTCAGCGTCTTGACTGCACACGCTCGACGGTCCGCGCGGATTTCCTGGGTCGGCGATGGACCGCCCTGGCGGCGCCCCTGGCGGCGCCTCTGGCGCCGCGCTCGGCGCCCTCCGCGCGCCAGGGGGGGTGTCCAGCGCCGATCCGAGACTCGGGCGGACCTCCGAAAGTCCATGTTTACGCCTCTCGTCCCCTAGTCTAGCTCTCGACCGACTCCCGAGGTCTGCCCGGGTGCCTGTGAAGTTACGTGCGGTTGGCAACTTTTCTATACCGCGGAGGAGGAGGAGGACGAAAAAGAGAAGGAGAGGAGGGCAAAAAACAAGTCGACGCCGAGCGACCGGGCCTCCAGGTGGCCCGGCGGCCTGCGTGAGCAGAAGTGCCCCGCGGCTCAGCGGAGGGTCATGCGCTCACCTCGGACCCAAGCAAAGCAGCCTAAACGAAATTGAGCGACATGTCGTCATCGAGTCGGAGGGAGGACCTTTCCCTCTGGTCCCTTCCCCGCCCGGGGAAGCACCTAGGGTGGGGGGCATGGGGGGTCCTGGGAGGAGGCCCCTGGGGGTGGTCCTGGATACCACCTCCCGGGGGGTCCCGGGGCCCAAGAGGCCCCCCAAAGGCCCCCCAGAGGCCACCCAGAGGCCCCCGGGCACCCCCAAGGAACCGCCAGGATGCACCATGAGGCTCCCAAACGGCCAAATGCCCCCGAGAGCGCTCCAAAGAGACTTCAAGAATCATTCGTGGGTCTCCATCTCCTCCATAAGCCGCCAGCCGAAGCAAAGCAACCAAATCGAAATTGAGCAAAGTGTGGAAGGGAAGCCCCTGTCCTACGATCCCTTCCCCCCTGCTGGGGGGGGGTCCCTGGGAGGGGTGGGGCTGCGGGGGTCCTGGGTGGGGGGTCCCAGGTCAGAATACCACCCCTCCCCCGGGGGGTCCTGGAGCCCAAGAGCCCTTCCAGAGGCCTGACGAGGCCCCCAGGCGGCCCCCAGGAACAGCCAGGAAGCCACAGGAGGCTCTCAGAAGGCCCCCTAAGGAACAGACGCCACCAACACTTCGTGGGGGTCCTTGGGCACATATTTGGGGCCTCGTGTCGCCTCTTGGGCACCCTCGGGAGCGTCTGATCCCCACCTTCCCAAATGCCTCTGCCGGCCGCAGGGCCTGAGCACCAATCTTACGAGCCTCGGTGTATGCCGCCGAAGAGATGACTTGCAGTAGATGCGGCACCGACAGGGAAATCACGACGACGCCTTGCCAGTGCCAAAGAGCAGCCCACAGAGGACCACCGCGGGAGCGGGGTGGGCGAGAGGGGGCCACGACCCCATCGCTCTCGGGTCGGGCGAAAGGGGGGGATAGCAAAGGGGGGGTTTGAGAATCAGCTCACGCAGCTGATTTTCCCGGCTATGTATCGAGAAATGGCCCCCTCGGTGAGGCCGAAACCAGCTGCATGCAGCAAATTTCGTACCCCCCCCCTTTCCCAATCCCCCCCTTTCGTCCGGCCCGACGCTCCCGCCCCCCAGAACCAGGGACGAGAGAAGCGAGGGGGCCGCCCCGAGGAGGGGAGGAGAGGCCAGAGGGCGAAGGGAGCGAGACGGGCGAGGCGGAGAAGGGAGCCAGCAGGGGAGGGGAGAGGAGGGCGTGCAGGAAGCGAAGGGGAGAAGGGGGGAGGACCACCAGGGAGGAGAGAGGCAGGAGAGGGGAGGAGGGGAGAGGGGATGGGATGGGATGGGTGTGCTCCCAGTGAGCTGGCGGCGGAAGCGTCGGCCGCAGCTTCCTTTCAGCAAGGAGCCACGACCCAGAGAGGGTTCGAGAGCGACCTTGCCGCGACAGCTCTGGGAGACTGTCCGCCAGCACTGGAAGGGAGGAGGGGAGGGAGGCGAAGGCAGTGCTCTTCTGGGGACCCGTGCGAATTCTTGGGGCGACGCTGGACCACCCTCCCAGGCGCGCGGCACGAGCAAAGCTGGGCCGAAAGCGCACCCAGGCGGGGTCTGGCGCTGACCCAGGAAATCCGCATGGCCATCCGAAGGCACCACCTCGCGAGATCACTTCCGCCCCCGTCCCCGGCCAGAGAGAGGCAGGAGAGGCAACTCAGAGACTCCCCGCAGAGTGGGGGAGACCAGGCAGGGGGCGCAAGTCTGGGGCTCGTCCGATCCCGACTTCCCTGCCTGGTCGACGCACGCCGCGGGTGCGGGACGGAGGAGGAGGAGGAGGAGGAGGAGGAGGAGGAGGAGGTGAAGGAGAAGGAGGAGGAGGAGGAGCACAAGCTAGGTGCGCTAGCATCACATTTGACGTCGTACTCCTGCCTCCCATCCCTTACCATGGCTCAGATACCCCATCTAATCGCACAGTTGGATGTCGAGCAGGGCAATGATCCCAAGAAGGTACGCGATGGATGGTAAAACATGACGTCGAAGAGCACAGCAGAGAATAGCATGTCACGGCATGAGGTGGCATTGCGTAGTGGCGTATTGCGTCACAAAACATAGCAACGGAAAACATGGTATCGCACTACGGTGCACATCACAGCATTGCATTGCATGCCGGGGTAAATGGCCCTTCCGAGAGGAGGGTCTGTCCGGAATGCTGGCTCCATGTCCTCCGCAATGGTGTCTGCCCGATGTGGCGCTTTCGGATGCCAAGTGCCGTCCAGAGGCGCGGGAACGAGGCCAGCACTGCAGCGGGAACACTATTTTGAATGACCGAAGCGCGGAAATGAGGGCGGCGCTGAAGCGGGAGTACCATGTTGGAAGAACCAGAAACGCCCAGATTGAACAAAAAACGTATGAAACGCCACATCATGAAGTCCTGCGTGTTGAAACAATACGCGGAGAGAACGGGGCACTCTCCGGATAGAGTCAGGGGAGACAGGAGAATACTATTCAGATTGTGTTATTGTGGAGGAGGGGGGGAAGAGGAGCCTGCCCGACCCGACCCGCCCGCCAGGCGAGTCAGGCAGAGGGGAGGGAGTGTGGGCTCGAGGGGGAAGCCTCGCCGCCTGTCACACTCACAAGGGAGACAAATGCTGCGAGCGCGATAAAAAAGACCCCCAGCACGGGCCTCGGGCAGGGCGAACGCAATGTAAAGCACGACGCCTGCAGCAACAGGAGGAGGGGCAGCTAGGGCGTGCGATTGCAGACCGCACTGGCGTCCCCTGAGCCCCTGGGGCAGCCGAAGGCGCGGAGCCTTGCACAAGATCTTCTTCTCCTGGAAGCTCTTGTTCAAATGGCGCGCGATCAGCCTCGGGGATGCAGGGTCGTGGCCCTCCTCCTCCCCCTCCTCCTCTTCGCCCTCCTCCCCGGACATCCAGCGGCCTGGAGTGCTCAGGACACTGGCACCTCTCCTGGGGCAGGCTGCTCATCCCCAGTCTTTTCTCGACGGTCACTCGGACGGGCCTCTCTGGGGGGCCAAGGACCACCAAAAGCAAGCTGGCCGCCGTCTGTCTTTGCCGAGCCGGCGGACGGAACGGGTAGTCTCCCTCCGTCTCCTCCGGCACGGCCCGCCCATGCTACTGCGAGACCACGAGCCGCCTCTTTCACAAGACACCCTCTGGTGGAACAGCGGCCCCAGGGCCGCACCAGGTGGGCGCAGTCCTGCAACAAACGTGGCCGCAACATCCTCTGCTGAACATGTCGCGGCGGCAGCCCCGGCGACACGCCATGCCTTCCACGCGCATGGCGTGCCGCCCCGCTTCGCGGGACGGGAGGCCGAGATCACCTGGCAGCCGTGCTGCCAGTGGACTGGGACGCGCTCAGCGTGTCGCGCCGAGGCACGGGGGCCTCGGCTCCCTCAAGGGCCCGGCGCGCGCGCGCGCCCGCGCGCGGCGCGCGTCCCTTCCCTTGCTGCTGCCCCCCACCCGCGCTCTCTGTCGCGTCGTCTCTTCGTCGTCGTCATCTCTTTCTCTTGCCACAAGGCTCTCCGTGCTGCCCTGCTCCCGCTGTCCTGCCGGCGGCCTGATAATCCTCGCGCGCTCGCGCCTCCCCCCTCCTCATCTCCATCGTGTCGTCGTCCTCCTCCTCCTCCTCTTCCTCCTCCTCCCCCTCCTCCTCTTTCTCCTCCTCCTCCTCCTCCTCCTCCTCCTCATCCCTCTCCTCCTCCTTCGCTTCTTCCTCCCTCCCCTCCTTCGCTCTAATCCCCCGCCCACGCCACGTCCCATCCGCCCCGCTCTGACTACATCCGTGCCAAAGTTTGCCCTCGACCCTCGAGGGTGGAGGGGGAAGGTCTGAAGTAGTTTTCCGCCCTTGTCGGCCCTCCTGAGGCCTTTGAAACCTCTGGAGAGCCTCCAGGGACATCTGGGGCTCAGGGTCTGGTGCAGGAGCAAGGCTCACCACGCATCCCTCCCCAGACATCCAGCGGCCTGATCATGTTATTACCACTTTTGCGCCCCTGGAGGCCAGCATCGTTCCCCTGCACGAAACTGGCCGAGAAGCTCCCAGACAAGGTTTTTGTCTAAGCTCCAAGGCAAGAAATCATCACAGACTATCATCCTCATGCTCATGCTGCGGCTTCTCCTCCTTCTCCTCCTCCTCCTCCCCCTCCTCCTCTGCTTCATCGTTGTTCCTCAACTGGTCCTCTCTGGAAGGTTGACTAACATGAGGAAGACATGGCCACGGAGTCAAGAGTGGCTCGGGCACGCCAGACGTGTGGCCCAACATGCGGGCGGGACTTTTCATCTCTACCTCCCGTACCTCCGTTCCGCCAAACGTAGACAAAACCAGCAGCTGCGCGTCAGCGCCCAGAGCACGGGTTCTCTGCTAGCAGACCCCACCTCTACCAGATTCGTTGATTCTGGAGCCAACCGTTCTTTCTAAGGATACCATGCCTGATTGATCACTCGTACATTCGCGGACCACCGGGACAGTCGCATGAGCTTTGCAAGCGAACGCCACAGCACTACTTGACAATTAGCAGCCTGGGCGATTCCATACCATGAGGCAGAACGAATTTCGCAATAGACTTTATCCATCACACTTTCTAGGTCGAGGCGGGCGGCCTGACAGACCGACGAGCTAATTGGAAGTTATTTGCAGCAGCTGCACAATCAAAACAATGGAGCACACTATCAACGGGAGAAAGCAAAGGGCCTGATTCCCCGTCCATGCAACCTGCAACAGGGTGCACACCTGAGGCAGGGAAATCCAGATCATGGCGCTTCTGCCTCAATCGCGACTGGGGGGTGTGGCATGTTCACGGTCATGTTCGACCTGTTGATCTTCTCAAACTCGCCGCCACCGACTGCGTACAGGGGGCTAGTCACGGAGGAGTTAGGGTGCGTCAGGCACTGCATGGAGCCCTCGTACTTGCAGCACGTCTCTGCCGCGGTCCTGAATGCGTGCGTCCCCCCGGTGAGCAGAACGCATTTCTTGTAACACGTATTCAAGCGCATCTCCTCGTCCGCGTAGCACGCCCCTCTGGCGTGGGGGCACGCATTGTTGGCCCTCTCGCCGGCGATGTCGTACCCACTGCACATCGACATAATGAAGTGCGAATTGAACAAAGTGCATGGCGTCGCCCTGCAACACGAGAACGCAGTGCCCCGAAACGGGTACTCGCCGTTCGTGATCAGTGAGCACTTCTTGTAGCATAAGGTGGCGTGCTCCTCCTCATCGTCCTCGCAGAAGTTGCCGTCGTGCAAGTTGTTGGGCTTCTTCAGCAATCGCTTCAGCTTCTCGCGGTTGGACTCGTTCTGGAGCCACGCGTTGAAAGTCCCGTTGCGGAGCGCGTCCACGAGGGGCCCGTGTGCCGTGACGCCCTCGGAGCTGCCGACCAGCTGGTTCCCGATCTCGCTAATCTCGCCTGGGAGCGAGGTCATCGCGTCGTTCGCGTCGTTCGCGTCGCTGATGACGCTCGCGCCGCCCTCGAGCATCGAGCCCAGCGCGCTCAACGCCCCGAGGCTGACTATATCGTGGTCCGCGTCGCGGCGGCGACGCCCAGGACGACGGCACCTGCACCGACACCGTGGTGGTCGGGCCAGCCCGGGGCCCAGGACCAGCGGTGTGCACGCCGTCCTGGCACAGCCAGGACGCCCACACACCGATCTTGGGTCCGAGCTGGGACTGTTCAGAACCGGTGTCAGTGTCTAGCTGTCGCCGTCCAGATGCTGCGGCTGTGGGCCTTGGCGGGCGGCTCCTCCGAACGCCAGCAGCCCGCACGCGGTCGCGACGCCAGCGGCGCAGAGCGCTGCCCTGGAGAGGCGTGCGGACAGGTGCGGCGGGCGCGGGGTGGCGTCGCTGTCGGTGGTGCTGGCGGGCACGGCTCTGGGCTGCGCACAGACCCAGGCATTAGCACAGGGGTCCTGGAAGCGTTTCGCCGCTTGCAGGCACCTGGGGCCCTCCACGGCCCCGGGAACGTCGAAAACCGTAGGACCTGTTTCCCTCAGAACTTCTTCCCCTCATGGCGTGGACTACGTGGTGGCTCGAATGAGACGGCCAGTTCTCACGTTCATGGTATTTTTGTTGACAGCCCTCTTTATGCAGGTGGGGGGCGTCAAAAACAACCCGGGAACACAAAGATGTCAGCGCAGGGTTTTGGGACCGTGGAGGCCTGAGTCGCCCGAGACATCCTCGGAGGACAACCCAAGCCCCAAAACCGCGCGGTCACCCCGAATCCCCACTGAATCACCACACGGTGTGGTCACCGCACCGCCTGGAGCCCCCTGGGTCAGGCCCAGTGGCGGGAGCGAGAACTACGGGGGGGCCCGCATTGAAAAGAGATAGAGTCGTCGAAGGCCTGGGGAAATCAGGGCCCAATCCACGGGGTCCCTGATGAGCCGGGACCTTAGCGTACCCGAGCTAGCTGCAGCCGCGGGCACTCTCCGTGTCCTTCGGCTGGATCTGGCAAGAAGGCCTGGTTCACAGAGCCCTGGTCTGCGGGTCCCCGGAGACAGTCCCCCAGTAGCCTCGGCCGGCCTCAGGGGCCTACCGCAAGGGGTGTCCAGGGCGGCCCCCACACCCCAATGATCAGGACGTGGGATCCTCGGATCAGCGCCTCCCTGACGGGTACTCCGCCGACGGGTTATTTGCCCGGCGACCAGGCGAACCCGAACCCTTCCCGACGCGGGCAACGCTGCAATGGCCAGGCGAGGCCCCGAAGTGTCAACTTTCGGCGGGGGTCCGAAGTAACCCATCCAGGCGCCGCTGATCTCGGGTCGGGCAAAAGGGGGGGATAGCAAAAGGGGGGTTTGAGAATCAGCTCACGTAGCTGATTTTCCCGGCGCCTCCCGGCGCCGGAGGCGGCTATGTATCGAGGAAGGGGCCCCTTGGTGAGGCCGAAACCAGCTGCATGCAGCAAATTTCGTAACCCCCCCTTTCCCAGTCCCCCCCTTTCGCCCGGCCCGATGATCGGACCTCTCGACCCCGAGCCTGGGCCCATCTCTTCACCCCGACTGGTTGCTTGATGGCCCAAAGGGCCCGGGATTGCTCTCATGGGCCTGGGCCCTTCGGGGATCTGCTCGGCTCGGGAAAGTGCTGCTCACGGGTGGCGTCGAGGGCCGAAGGCGTGCGCGGTTCACGACGCCGATGGGCGTCAGATGTCAACCACGCGTGCCTATTGCCGGTTTGGCAGCCTGAGCCCTGAGAGCTCCAGGGCCCCGAAAGAGATCAGCGGCGCCATCAGTCTCCAGAGTGCTTTACAAACATTGAAAGGTCGCAAATCCCGATCCACCCTCACCCACCCCATCTGCTGGCCCCATGCTGAGCTCTCGCCCCCTCCCACGGGGCCAGCTCCCAAACAGCCCCAGGACGCCGTGCAGTACACAGGAAAAAACTAGATGTCAGAGGTATGGGTGGGTGAACCTCCCTGTGGCACCCCCTAGGGGAACTCCTGAACTCTCTCCAGGGGTGACAATAAGCCCCCCCCCAGACGTTTGAACAACGAATTGCTATAACGCCCCCAAGCTTCCATCCTCGATCCTACACCCCTCCCCCAGCCCTCTGGCATTACGGAAAAGGGTCCTGAGGGAAACGGGTCATGGAACCCAAGCTCTCCTCAGGACCAGCCTTTCGCCCCGAATAGTTTTTAGATCGCCTCGATGCCCGGGGAATGCCCCAAAAGAGCCCCTCCCAAAGAAAACTCACAGGAACCCGTCCTTCATGGCGACCCTCGCCCACCCTGACGCGCTGACCGGGGTCAGCGCTGACCCAGTGAGGCCTGGGCGCATGTCCCGAAGCCCAGCCGGCCGCACGGGCACGCCCAGACCCAGGTCGGCGGAGGCAGGCAAAGGGAGGCCCAGTTCCACGCGGCTCCCAGGCCCTGGGCCGGCTGGAGTGGATCGCCTGAACCCCCCATATGAGCGCTGACCCCCTTCACGTGCAGCCCAACTTGCCGAGTCTCGAGCCCTGCTGGTGCCGGCGGCCTCCTCGCCCCACGGCGAGAGCTCGCTAGGGGGAGAAACTCCATCCTTCTACTTGTCCGCTTTGCCAGGAAGTTTCTCCTCAATGTCGCCCCCCTGGAAAACATCGCCGTGTCCTAGCAAGACGAGGCGAAAGGGGAGGAGGGTGAGGCGAGCGAGATTTACGTGCAGAGGTCCTCGCTGATTTCTTGAGTCGGCGCTGGACCCCGTCCCCTACGCGCGGGCAGCAGACCAAGGTGGGTGTCTCTGGCGCCGCTAGGGGTGTCAAGCGCCGACCGAGAAACCTGCGCGGACCCCCGAAAGTTTGTGCGCATGCCGTCTCTTGTTCCTCGGGTCCTTTATGCTTCTTCCCCCCTCCCTGATGGGGAGCGATAGATGGGGACTGGCTTAACGAAATCCCGAAACTCATCCTAATCATCCGTCTTTCCCGCCGCATTGGCTTGTGAGCTAACCACCTCCACCCCCATTGAGCTTTTTGATTCGGCAAGATGCATGTTCTGCCTTTTGGTCGCCGCTATCCGCGATTAAAACGTATGCCAAATCTCAGAATTCGGTACCATTGGAGGAGGCCGTGCCGGGGTCAATGTCAGAATCACAGCCGTCGTTGGCGGCATATGTTCTCTCCATTGCATGTGCCTCATCCCGCAGGAATGAGGTGTACTGGAATGCTGTCGCAGTGTGACCAGTGCGCCAGGTCGACAGGCCGTTTGTGGTGTTGAGGGCCTGTGGACGGGCAATGCACTGCTTTCGCCTGCATCGTCTACCTAAGCGCTATGCCCGTTTCCAAGCTCCGGGGAGTTGATGGCGTATACGTGGTGAATTTTGCTGTTGCCACTTCGACCTCCGCCGAAAACACTTCCGGTGTTCCCTTGTGGGCGCTCGGGGATGGGTCTTACGGGCCGCGTGAGCTCGATGGGTGTTTCGCATTCCACCTAAAAGCGCGGCAGCTCGTAGCCCAGTGGTTGTAATAGTTGCATAGCCCTCGGGGTGCCGACTCCCGGGGCTGGGAACAGCACCGCGGTGAGAAATTAAACATTCGGCATGGCGAATCCAACGAGATGTGCTTCGAGGCACGCCGTCCCGAACCCGGCAAGGGTTTCGCCGATGCGCTCGCGATCGGGCACGTGGATGTCGATCAGTTGGCTACCTGAAGTGAGCTGACGGTCATCCTCGGTGTGCTCGAATTTCATGCTTTGGATGACCACGATGTGCGCGGCAGGATCGGTGCGACTGCCTCTAATGTTCGCGCGGGAATGTGCGACGTCGGTAGATATGCGCATGGCGATCTTGCGCGCAAGGCGCCGTAACCCTCGCTGGAGGGCTGCGGCTTGTTGCTGCGGGGCCATGCGAGCACCTGCGAAAATCAACCAAACAATGATCTCACAGGCAAATTCCCGAAACGATTCCCGGTTGGGCTCCAATATGGAAGTGTGTTGTTGTCGCTGCCTCCATTACGTTGCACGTATCCGACAGCGGAGCGTACGCACATCCAAATGACAACACAAATCACAAATCCGCCGATCCGGCGCGTGAGTTTGAAAGGGCCTTAGATGTAGCCTCAGCTTCAGTTCCTGAGCTTCTGCTCTGCTGGGGGGTGGGTGCCGGGGTGGCTCTGCCGGGGTAGGGGGCGGGGGGAGAATGCGCTGTGCTCCGTTTTCCGGGGGGGGGTCGGGCCGTGGGAAATACAGCAGAGTGCCACCCCGGATGCCAGAGAGCCCAAGATTGCTGCAAGATGTTTCGAAGACGGCCCAAGATGTACCCAAGACGGCCCAAGATGGCGTCATGACGGCCCAAGAGGCCTTCAAGAGGCTCAAAAGGCCCCCCAAGAGGACCCAAGAGCACTCCAACACCACCGCCAAGAGGGGCTCATGAGGCCAACATCGTCTGTTGTCCGATAGTTTTTGACGGATCTTGACATGCTCGCCTTTTCGGGTTTCCGACGCTCCAAGACGGCCCAAGAGGCCCCCAAGATCGCACCAAGACGGCCAAACAGGCTCCCAAGAGCGCCCCAAAACTGCCCAAGGAGCCCCAAGGCTACTCAAGAGGGCCCGTCTTGGCCATCTTGGCGGCACTCTGGGACCGTTTCTGGGCCCTCCTGGGGCCGTCTTAGGGGGCCTCTTGGGCTGTCCCAGGGCAATATTGGAGGCCTCTTGGGCGCTCTTGGGGCGATCTTGATGGCCTCTTGAGCCGCCTTGGGCCTTCGGAAAGAAAAAAAGAAGAAACCCCCGAATCCTTCAAAAACCGTCAGGAAATCAATGGTTTAGGCCTCTTCGGGCGTTCCTGGAGGTCCACTTGGAGGCCTCTTGGGCCGTCTTGGAGGCCTGTTGGGGGCTGCTTAGGCCGTCTTGGGTCATCGCGAGGCAATCCCTCCCTCCACCTCCCTCCGCCTCATCCTCCACCTACTCCTCCACCTCCCCTTCCACCAACCAAATCGCATCGGGAGTGCCCACGGATCGGCGGCACTGGCCCGAGGACACTACAATAAGCCGCCCCACACAATTCAGCAATGAACTGTT